TTCCATCTAGCGGGCTTCAGTTCTTAGAAATTTTCATCATAGGAAGGTGACACATTTAGGAAATGATTTATAGGGAATCAGTTTATAATCTGGAAGTTTGTTTTAGGGAATGTCTGAAGAGAATTGGCTGGTTGGTATGAGATCCATATTCTACCAATATTTAGAAAATCCATAGCAAATGAAGTGAGCTTCAAAGATGGGATTCCCAGGTGAGGTGGTGGCATTAGTACAAGCTCTGTACTGGCTGCTCTGAGAGCTCTATTAATTTTGTCCACCCTAGTTTGTTTCCAAGAAAGAGGAATATGAAAGCAAATCCATGATTTGCTAATTTGCTATAATGTTGAGTTGTCCTCTTGCCGTACAATAAAAAAAAAGGGGGGAGGGGGGAGGAGGGGAAGTGCTACATGTTCAGGTGTATTTCAAAGAAATTAGTTTTGTAATAGGTAGGAAAGATTTCCAAGTTTCAACACGTCCATGCACGCTGTCATGGAGGAAGAGATTCCATGGTTCCATTAACCCAACAGGGGAAACAGATTGGAAGGTGACAAGGCTGACCAGAAGGGGATGACAGCCTTGCTAAAGGACCTCCATGGTGGGCAGGCTGCATAGTTCTCCATGCTGAGGCTAAGCAGTAAGCCTGGGTGATTTAGACAGCCTATATGGAGTGACAGAGGTGCTTTTCCTGCCCTCAGTAAAGCGTAGACCCAACTAGGTGGATAGGGAAATTAGCTTGAAAACTTCCAAATTAACATGTAATTCATGGTAGTTGTCAAACTGTGCAGCAAATCATCTGACCATTTGTAGAACCTCTCTCTGCTTGGGGAACTAGGAAGCTTTTTGCAGAAGTAGCTTTCTTCTGACAGAATATATGGTAAACGTATTAATATTTTATAATGGTTTTTCATTGTCAGATATCTTTTACTGGTTTTTATTTCCAAGAACGCTTCTTTTTAAATAAATCATAGACTTTCTGTGTTTATGACTTGCTAAAAACCTATGTAAAATAAAACAAACAGTTGCTAGTTAAGTATTTCCCGTTGTGGTACTGCAGTAATTCATCCTCTAGGAAGAAAGTAACAGTGGAAGATGTACGATGTGGCTGACCCCAAGGTATTTCAAGCTTGGCCCTAGGCCTGTCATCGTTTGACTTAGTGAATTTTCACACTCCCTGGAAAGGTTATTAGACCTGGTGTAGAAGTAGGATGGACTGATTGGGGAAAAGTTAATAATTCCAATTAATTGAATTTGATGGACTGATCCGCTCAGAAATTTTGCCTAAGACATCTTCTGCTAAAAACTGTGTAGGCACAAGTGGGAGAACCTTCAGTGTCTGTTTTGGAAATTAATTTGAATAATCACATACAGACACACTTTACTTGCAGCTACTTTGTATGGAGATAAAAAAGGAAGAAAATTTTCAAAACATGTTAGTAAAATTTTGATCACCCTGAGAGAAGTTTGTGCAGTTTTTTAAACTTTTTTTTTCATATATACCTATTGAACCTAGATAAGCATTAAAAGAGTTTGTGTTCTTCTGAGCTGTAAGAATATTTACACTGCAGTTGATGATTCAGATTCATCTTTTATTTATATGTGATTTTTTCCTCCACATAATTTGTTTATGTTGATAACAATATTTTCCCGTAGCGCTGAGATTTACCAGGTGTAAATGTTGTAGGTGCTGGGAGTACAAATTGCCTGATGCAAATACTAGAGACGAGCTGAGCCACTAAAACTCAAGGCACAGCTGCTCCTGATGGAGGCCAGTAGTGCTTCAAAATTGCCTGCTATTTGCAGATATTGAGTGCTAAATGTTGTTTTTCTGTTTGTCTTCAGTTGCACATACCTATTTCTGGGTAGTTGCTGTGTTGTTTTTTTTGTTTGTTTGTTTGTTTTTAAGACAGCATTTTAAATATTTGGGGGATTTTCCAATTTTCATCTTGTCTTTTACGTTTTTGTCCTTATTTGAAAGCCTTTTTTTGGTTTGTGATGGGATAGCTAGCTATAAGTTGTCTTGAAAGGTTGCTGTAACAACCCTCTTGGCAATGGAAATCAGAGAAAAATAACATAAAAAGTTTATCCTAGCACAACTGACCCCGTACAAGCTGAGCTGAATCTCCTTTCATTTGAGATTTTCATTTCTTCTGCTTTACTATTTTTCCCAGTTGGGGTGAGATTTATCCATGGAGAAAATTGGTTATGAGGAGAGAATGAAAAAAATGAAAAGAGAGGGCTATGCAGAGAAAAACTGAGCAGTTCTCTGATGAAATTCTGGGCGAAGTTATGACCAAGGTGATAGACAAACAGCTCTGAGATAGACAATAGAAGAGTGACTCCAGTGAACTTAAAAATCCTGCCCAGTCCTATATCTGGCTTAAGATAATCAAAAAAAAAGCAACTTAGACAAACTGTTGTTGCTCCTTTCTGTGACTTTTTCTTGTTTGTCTATGTAATGTTTCACTATACAAAGATTTATTCACAGTGCCAAAATAGAAAAAGGAATGTTTAACCCTACTACATTTTCCTAACCACATTAAAGCAACCCTAGCCTTGCTACTTAAAATTGCATTTTAAGCCTTACCTCATGTCTTGTAGCATGCCAGGAGGATTACAGTATTGCACTGTCTTGCTCAATTGTGTAAATATCTGTTTGTGATGCACTAATTTCTACATCTCTGCTTTCACTGCCATCTTTCAAGGGTTTGGTTTCATCCTGTAGCACATACTCATTGCTGGGAAGACAAACCTTGATGTGTCAAACCGTGGAGCTAAATTTTTAATGTTTTCACTGCTGAGGGAAAAATTTTGCATTGAAAAGATCCTCTGGTTATTAACACATCTTAATAATGAAGCTTACAGCCTGCTGAGCCCCTGCCTTGTTAAAAAATTCCTAACACAATTTCCATGGAAGAGCAAAGGGGGCTTTACCTTCTTTTCTTTATTAATGAGTTCCTGTTGCTTCCCCATGCTGCATAAATGATTTCCTAGAATGTATAATTTAAAATATTACAAATTAAACAAAGTGGAAAAATGAGGGAATTGTGTGGGCAGAGGATATTTCCAGAGTGGTGATGGCTGTAATTATGCAAAAGACTATAGTGGACAGACCCATTATAGCAAGTAACTCTAGATATGAACAATATAAATAGATTTCCCAACTTTTACCTCTTACCTCATATTTATTACAATAATGGGTAACAATAATGGGTAGAATATGTCTTTTTCCAACATCTCGTAAGCAAAGAGCAGGTAATAATTAAGCCTCATTTCATTCTCCTGGAAGTCGTATCCTCTGCTAGTGCACACGCACTGCGGTACCTCGCTTAAGATCAGATGTCTCCTGAGGCAGCAGGACACCTAAGTACCCACTTAAGAACTTGCAACATGTTTAAGATTATTCAGCAAAACGCAGTCCAAGCTGTTTAATCATTCTTAAGGCCAAAGGGAATGTGATGTCACAGGATATTAAGTTTTCTGCCTATACCTTCTAAAGCCAAATGCCTCAGTTGGATGAAAGTATTTCATCTCTCTTCATTGCTGTATTTTCACTAACAACCGAGGTTTAAAGCTTTTTGGCTAATAGGTTTTTAATCTGCCCGTGCATGGCTCTTTATCCCGTATAATGTCATGTGATCATAAACCAAGTGCTTTACGGGAAAAAATGCAAGCCAACTGAATTATTAAGTTTCTCTGTAGGCTCCTCATCTGCTGAACAGCATTAATTCTCATTCATCCTCAAAGTCTTTATTGAAAGAGGACCCACATTAAGTATTCTATTGTTATTTGTAAATATGGCCCTAAATGTTGTTGTTTTTCTATGTTTTTCAACTTTTCAATTAATTTTTTTCAACTTTTTGATTTACTAGCCATTCTGTTCTTCATCTCTGTTCAGTGCCTCAAAAGGGTCATGACCATTTAGAAGAGGGAGGAACTGCAGTGCTCTTATTTTTGAAGCTGTGACCTTAGGGCTGAGATTAGTCAAGAGACTGTCATTCACAGCAGTTCATCCTTTCAAATTAATCTAGCTCTATCCTCATTTTGAAAGAGGCTTTTTCTTTCTTAAAAGAACAAAAAACAGCCCTATGTGTGACAGACTTCCTGGGAATAATAGAAACGTGTAGGAAATATACTTTTCACCTGTAATATTTTAAGTTGTTAATAACTGAAATTAATTATTACAAATATTATTTAAATATTATTTTTTTTATTACTTATTTGGTTTCTGATACTGTTTAGTATCATTAATGCAGGCATAATAGTCACAATTTTATTGCTTTTCTCGCTGGAGTGATGCTTGTTAGTTGATTATATGGTTATTGGGTCCATTCGTTTGAGTCACTCATGATATAAAAAGATTTTCTTTTTCCAATCTGTTTATGCCCTTTACATCTCCCCTGAGACAGAGAATGATGTTAGGGGACTTCTCAAGCTTCTCTGGGCTTGTACAGAAGACAGCTCAGCTCCGATTGTATCAGGCACTCCTAACATTTCACCATCTTACTCAGCGTTTAACCCAATTCAGGCCAAATATCCTCTTAAATGTCATTAAACAATTTGGCTCATGATAATTTGCTTGTCTTTCTGCCCTCAGTTTCTTTTCCTTGTCTGTTTTTTATCCCTTCTTTTTATTTCTCCTTACTGTGTTCTTGGTTGCTGTTTCTTTTGCAGTGAGAAAGCTGAGATACAGAAATAAAGATTATCCTTCACTTTGAAAACTGAGGGATTTTAGGGGGTTCTGGTTGGAAGAAAGGGACATGGTGGTGGCACCTCACGATCATGGGACTTACCAGTCAAATTGACAGTGCCAGATTTACTGTGAAACTTGTTAGAGGTTGGGTTCAGTCTCTAAAAGCTGGATAAATAAATTTTGGATCTTCCTGGATATTATCCAGGAGCATTAAAGGACATCCCCAGGTTGCTGCTGAACAGCCACATCGGCTTGCTTGGCTCCCTCACAGTTGGATCCCTTTTTCTCTAAAAATGCACCTTTGTTATTACAGCTCCTTCAAACATCTGATTGGCGGCCTAGATGATGTTTCCAACAAAGCCTATGAAGATGCAGAAGCAAAAGCAAAGTAAGTGCCAGCTCCTTGTGTTCAGCATAAAATCTTAACCTCATTTTTCTTGCTGCAATGGTTTTATTGATAGTGAAGCATGGTTACTTAAATAAAACAAAAAAAAAACACCAGCATTTTCTCAACATAATAGTGTAAAACAGATTAAAAAGAATTAGGTGCTTACTCTGGATTTTCCTGGTGCTCTCCATGAGTATGGGAGGTCCAGAAGGAGATGGCTCTCCTCAGGTTGGTGCCCAGAGCCAGGCGGTCCCAATGTCTGTCTTAATCACGGTATTGGAGTCCAAAGAAGTCTCAGACCTTAAGAAATTAAATATAAAAATAATATTAATAAATATAATTATTAATAATTATAATTACTGGTATTATAAATATATTAATGTGTCATTGATAAATATGATAATAATTATTGATATTATGATTAATTTATTGATGGTGATAATTATTGATAATAATAATTATTATTTTTATCATCGTGCAATAGTTTGAGGTAAGAAATTACAGGTCTTGAAAAGCACTGTTTAACATGATTTGTTTCTTTAGAGAGCTCTGATCTTTCTGAAATGTTTTCCCAAAGTCAAATCCTGTTCAGAGACAAAGAGTGGGAAATCAAGTTTGTCATTTTTGAATGAATATTACAGCTGTTTTGATGTGAAGCAATATATTTGTCTAAAGTTCTAGCTATATTCATTTGTTTCAGAAATGAGCTTTAGTGTATTGTGATTTTAAAGTATTTCAAAAAATCCCAACTGATAATTCACTCTTGATATACAATTTTTTTTAGTAGAAAGACTTTGGTATGTCAATACTTTATTCTATACCAACAGTAAAGCTTATTAAGAAGAACATTTTTTGATAAAAATGATAGTGAATATAAACCAATATGATTCCAAAGCAAAGGTAGTCTAAAAAAAATGAAGTTGCTGTATAAAAATCACTTTTTTTTTATTATTCTTTTTTTTTCTTTTTTTTAACCACATTAACAAAGGGGTTGGGTGTTTACTCCAAGTCGAACACTCTGAAAGTGTGCCTGTTAATCAGTGGTCTGCAGAACTATAAATTTAAGCTTGCTCTTAAGTTACACATAGAAAATTCTCTTCAAACCAGAGAGGCTTGAAATAGTGTGTAATACGGGTATTTGGCACTTCAGTGGAGAGAAAATGAGACAACCTAAATAGTTATTCAATTAAAAATGTTTGTTTCAAAAAATAAATATGTATCCCAAGAAATTTACTAATATTGCAAAGTACGTGCAAATTAAGATTTAATTTTTTTCTTTTATTACTATCTTTGAGTGATACTTGAAATACATTTTTAATCATGTTTTAATTTGTTTTAAGGTACTAGAAGGCACCCTAGAGTTGCATTTTTGTTTTGAGGAATATTTCCCTGCCCCTAATTAACCATGTACTTTTTTTTTTTCCAATGCTCAAGTTCCCTAAAATTCTTCCCTTAATTAAGACAGGAAGTTATCAGCCTTTTTTACCTTCCCAGAAACTAGGTAATTAGAACACAGAATACAAAGTCAAATGGGACAGTACGTTATAATAGTCAATAAATAGCTATTGGGTATTACAGATAAATATAGTGTCCATTATTATATAAATTATCTATTAGTACCAGCTAAAAACATGACATTTTAATGCCAGCAACAGCTTATACAAAGCATTTTACAAAGCGGTGAAAAAGTAACCTCAGCAGCTTAAGAGAGTTGGTCCCAAGTATCCCAGGCATGTGATTTTATATTTTTAGATTTTATTGTTAGTGCTACTATATGGAATATTTTGATTTCCATCTGAACAAAAAGGAAGAAAACATCGGTAATGAAACTGTGGATTTGTTTTTATTTTTTTAGTATTAAGATGACGTTTTTATCACAGGAGCTTATACTAAGGTTATACCAGAATCCATTAGCACCAAACAAAATTTTCAGATAGAACTTGTCATTTCCCATTTCATCATTTGTCTTCTCACATTTACAATTTTAAGCTGTATTATTAATAGAGAATATCCACACAGCAATTTATTATCACAGGCAATATTTGGGTATGCAGATTGTATTGTAGAGTTTTTCAGTATGGTTTAGTGACTTTTTGGGGAAGGCTTTCAGGATCTGTTGTGCACTTTACAACATGTTTTCAGGAGGACTGATTTTGGACCTATTTTGAATAAAGTCTTAATTTTTGGTAACCAGTGGGCCTGTGTTGACCTTAGCATTTTTGAACTTTTATCTTCTTGATGCCTGTTCTTTTCCAATGCTATTTCATCCAAATGGAAGGGCAAAGCAAAGGAGTGCTGGTGATAGAAGAATTGTTTCCCAAAAGGAAGAAGTGATGATAGCAACTTTTGAAAGCAGCTTTTCCTGCCATCTTAGAAGCCAGTGCTTGAATCCTGTGACTTGAGACTGTAGGTGACAATGACATTATTGACCTTCACATATTGACATTTTGTCTTTGAAAAAGCAGAAGGGATCAGTGCTGTCTGTCTTGAGAAACATTTTAAAAGGAATGTGCTTTCAAAATATATGGCATTTGTTAGTTGAATGCCATATTCACATTTGCTTGGCTCTTTGAAAGCAAGAGCATTCCTGCAAAAAGATGAACAAGAATAGGAAAAAAATGACAAAGTTACTTCGAGAGTGAAGCAAGATGTATTGTAAGCTGCTTCAGAAAGTTTTATCACTCAAGAGTCATTGTTTCTATATCTTGCAAGATAAAACTCCTCTGGGAGAAGAGTCTACTTGGCAGAAATTTTAACCTGGATTACTTTTCAAGCTGTGTTAATTAGCTTCAGCTAATTGTCCTTCAAGGACTTATCTTTTCCGAAGAGAAGTTTGCAAAATGGAAGAGCTCGGGACATAAAGTGCATTTGGGTACTCAAATCACATAAAAGAAAGTCCTACTTTTGCATCTTTATAGCTAGCATCTCATTTTCAGAGTTTGCATGGCAGGTGACAAAAGGCCGTTGGATGAAGAGGAATTTTCTGTGTGCCTTTATCTCACCATGTGTCAGGTGGACCAAGATGAACCACACAGAGGTCAGACATTCATCAGGCATGGCCATGCAGAGTAAATGCAGAGGACATCATTCTAAGACTGCATTACAATGCATCAAAGCCTGCTTTTCCTTGGAGTAATAAACACATTCAGGGCTGAAATGCGAACAGTAATATTTTATTTATTCCTGTTGATTAACAAATATGAAAAATGGCTACAAAATATGCTACAGAATGGCAGCAAATATATATTTTCTTAAACACCTATCCATATCAAGGTGATTATTAAATCCCTATGAATTTAGAGGCTCAGCAGAAGCACAATTTTAGGCCACATGCAATAGAGGGTTCAAGATTTTGTTGAGTTTATCTCTTGGCAACCTGGTGTTTTCCCAGCTAAGACCTGAGATATGGCTAAGTTGCTCCTAGGACCTGGGAAAATGTTCGAGCAATCAAACTGCTGTGGACAATGGAGGTACCACTTCTTGCCCATGGGCACAATTTAAAGTATCTGCTTGGTTCTTGAAGGAAGAGAAAATGCATAGCACCATTAAAAAATACTTAAGCTGAGCAGAGGGGCTCCCTGCATCAACAAACAAGAGGTCATAGTGGGGATTTAAGGCTTTTCTCTGTTCTCAACCCCTGCTTTTAGGCATCCGCATAGTGTCAATGACAGCTGTAGGCGTCTCCTTGTTCTGCGTGGACACCTTTGGATTGTGTCCTGAATGCCTGGCTCTTGGCCGGCACAAGCAGCCGGGATGCCCCATATGAGGCTGTCCCAGTGCTCCAGTGGGAAGGTGCCCAGCAGTTCCTGCCAAGCAGACCTTGGAGACAGTTGTTTTCTTCAAGGGTTTTGACCTTCCTGTCTGGGAAAGCCAGTCTGCACCTGAGCTGCTGAAGGCAGTGGAATTCAGTTGCTAATGTACTCAAGCTGAGTTATTTTTGATGCCATTTTGTGGGTTTTCTTAAATTCTGGTGAGTATAAAAATTCTGGTCTTCATCTAAATGGAAGAAGCCATTTTTTATCCTCACAATTACAGAGATAATCTTTATAACATAAGCTTACTCCAACACCAGATTTGATTTACTTGTTTACAAGTAATATCTTCCTGCTTTTTTATTTTGGAGAGACGTTTTCCTGTTTATTGCAAGCTTGGAAGTGGCATTACTCCTTAAGTGCATTCTTTGTGCTCAGTCTCTCGATTAGGTCAGAAATCATCAGTGAAACTACATAATTAATATTCTACTCCTCAGGTGTATTCAGGTACGTTAATAAATTCATCAGCTAATGAATATTAGTTACATTCCTGCCAGTGTGAAGGTGAAGGAAAGAAGCAAACTTTTAACTTGGTTCATGTTCTGAGAAAGCAGGACTTTCAAAAGAGCAGCACTCGTGTCCCAGCGTCAGGCCTGGGTCCAGCACACTCTGCCTGTGGTGTTGGTGTTTGGGGCATGACGAAGACACCTAAATAAGAAGATCCATCTAAGTGTAGATTCCTTCCAGATAGAGCCACTATTGCAACTCTCATAAATCCAAGGGGAAGCAGGTGGTTTCTACTGCGGTTATTGGTGCCAAGTGAGGTGAGGGTTCAACAAACACTACTCGCTCCAGGCACAGAAATCCCATCCCTTCTGCTGGTCTTCCCTATCCAAAAAACTCTTGAGGTTTATCACTGCACTCTCCTTCAATCACTAACAAGGTCATTAGATGAGGTCCCCACTAGCTTGCTCCCACCTTTCTGTGAGAAGGCTGTAGGAAGGCAGCGCCCTAGCCCATGGCACAGAGATGGCAGCAACAAGGTGTCCCTCACCACCACACTGGGAAAGCTGGCAGCATCCTGGCTTCACCCTGCCAAGCAGAGCGTATCCACTCTGATGACCAGGGTCCCCGCGCTCCTTTTCTCCTGTCACATCCAGAATTATCTGCTGATGTTGATCTCCTGTGGCAGCGGGGCTTGAAATTAATACCCTATTGAAGTCCAGACACTGGTGCCTTCGTGATATT